GAGAGAGAGAGAGAGAGAGAGAGAGAGAGAGAGAGAGAGAGAGAGAGAGAGAGAGAGGAATCCATGACTACAGTCCTCCTCGAACATAACACACGGTTGCTATGTTCATGACCCTCACCTGTACCTGACCGGAAAGATACGTTGTATACATTCATTATCAGGTCTACCGTCATGATGCCGTCATGCCCCCACATAACGCACCTGAATAATGAATGTATAAAACCTACTTTTCGGGTCCAGTACAGGAAAAATGAGGGTAGCCCTGCTTCTCTCTCTCTCTCTCTCTCTCTCTCTCTCTCTCTCTCTCTCTCTCTCTCTCTCTCTCTCTCTCTCTCCCCACATCCCACCCCCCCCAGCTTCCGCCTGGGACAAATTCACATCCGTACACAGTCATGTTGGGAACCCTCATGTTGCCTGTACCGGACCGTACAGATGGCTTGTATACATTCATCACCAGGGTACGTTATGTTCGGGGGACTACGGTAGCCATGGACGCTGTACTCTGTGTGTGTGTGTGTAGCTAAGGTCTTCCCCCCAACATAACGCACCCTGGTAATGAATGCATACAAGCCATCTTTCCCGTGGGGTGCAGGCAACATGACGACGGTCACACTGCTACTCTGTGTGTGTGTGTGTGTGTGTGTGTGTGTGTGTGTGACAGTGTGTACCCTGGTGACGAATGCATACAAGCCATCTTTCCAGTGGGGTACAGGCAACATGACGAGGGTCACACTGCTACACTGTGTGTGTGTGTGTGTGTGTGTGTGTGTGTGGGTGTGTGGGTGTGCGTGTGTGTGTGTGCGTGTCTGTGTGTGTGTGTTGCGTCTAAGTCCGCATGGGACAAATCCGGGCACGGTTTCAAATTAGCCTGCACCCTCTCTACGTGGGCTCCACAGGGCCCCACCAGCAGCGTTGAGTTTTCTCAACGCCGAATGTGGACGTGTTGGGGGAGATGTGCAGAAATGGCTTTACTTTTCCTCAACACCACATCTCCGCGAACAAGTCCAGATACGGGCATTGAGGAAAGTCTACGCTGCTGATGGGACCTGGCCCTTGTAGGTGCTACTCTTTCCACAGGTCCTGGTGGTCGACAAAGGTCCCCGTAGGTCGCTGTTTGGCACCCGCTTTTTCTGCTGTTTTTGCCTCTAACAAACTACAGCCCTGGCACGGCTGCCATGTCCAGTCTTTTTTGCCTTTTTGAACTCCTCAGATTTGAAGTTGCAACGCAGTGGTTTTTCCTGCCTATTTCAAACTTAAAGTGTGACTCCGGAGCAGTTTCCTCAAAAAAAAAAAAGGGGTAGCTTCGGCGCAGTCACGAAAACAGTTTGTAATTGCACTTCAGGCAATCCCATGAATACAACACACCCCCACGCGACCCCACCGGACCCGAAACGTAGGTCATATACATTCAGCATTACCGGTCCTTTTGCCTCAAGTGCAATTACAAACTCAAACCCTGACTGTGCCCTAGTTTTCTCAAAAAAAAAAAAGRGGGGGGRGGGSGGGGGGGAAGGTCCATGTGCCGGACCGAACTGCTAAAAGGCCTGCCCGAGTTTCAACTGCACTTGAAACTCGGGCCCTGACTAAACTCAGTCTGCTCAAACGCAGTTTGAAATGCAATTGCAAACTGCTTTGAATTCCTGACTGCGCCGTAGTTACCCCTTTAAATTTTTTCTTTCAAAGCAACATCATGCTCCAATCTATTCATGCCATTTCATGGGGATTAGCCTCCGACGCGGACTTAAATTGCTGTAGGATCGGATTACACTGCACTGAGTGCAGTCAACCAAGATTCCCTTTTTTCCCTGCTTTTTTTTTTTTTTTAATTATTATTATGAAACTTTGTTACAGGTTAGCACTATAACAACTTGCAGGTGATAAGAGCATCCTCCTTATAGTTTCTTGAATTTCATGGTTTCTGCGAACTTCAAGTGGTGTCATGGTTTCTAGGAACTTCAAGTGGGGTCATGGTTTCTGGGAACTTCAAGTGGTGTTGTGTTTGAAACGGTTGGGGCGCTGGACGGGGTTTCAAGCAAGCGCCGGAACTTGGTGAGGGGCCCAGGGACCACCAGGGTTTAAGGGTTGAGATGTGAGGTCCCCGGGCCGAGGTCCCACTAGCAAAAAGGATAGGATAGAGCTCCAGAATCTGGATGTGTTTTATGCAGAGATGCAGAAAAGCAGTTCAATCTTGATTTCCTGCACATCTCCATAAACTCGTCCAGATTCAGGCATTGGATCCGATCCTCTTTGCTAGTGGGACCACGGCGGCCCCGGACTCATTCCCTTTCGTACAATTATAAAATTGTGAACTTTCCAAAGAGAAAAAAGAAAACAAAAAACAAAGAAAGAAAAAAGAGAAGAAATTTTGCATGGACGCAGCAGGCAAATGGCATTGTCCTCATGGTGCGAGTCTGAAACGGCAATTTCAGTCTTTTTTCCCTTTTTCTTTGTCTTAAAAAGCTGTCTTCTCCTCATCGGGGGACAGCTCTCCGAGTCTGAAACCGCAATTTCAGTCTTTTTTCCCTTTTTCTTTGTCTTAAAAAGCTTTCTCCTCATCGGGGGACAGCTCTATATATATACTTTCCTCTCACCTCACATATTTTACGTGGGACACCCGGTTTTCTACCTTTCTGGCTCGCTGTCATCCCTACCATATCCCGCACCCTCCTTGCTTTTTTTTCCTTTTTTTTTTCCAGAAAAAAAAGGAAACATCAACCTTTCATCCCACACCCTCCTTCCCCTCTCTTCTGCCATTTTCAAACTCGAGGGCACAGAGTATGATCGGGAACGTGCTTGTCGATGCTGCTGTAGTTGCAACCATGATCGAAACCAGCCCTTGATCACGATGCCCTGTTTGACAATGTCTGTGATTCATGCTGAGTAGAAAATGCCGCCCCTGTGAAGCAGGCCACTTTTGTTTTCCAGAGTGTGGGCATACTCACACTACTACGTTTTTGCGTATTTTTGGACGGAACTGTGGCCAGATACATCCAGGTATGGCCTGAATGCTGTCAGATACATTTGAGATACTGCGAGTGTGAGTTATATAATAGCTCATCATAGTTTAAAACAATTCTTCATTAGAAACTTGAAGGGGATATATGTAGGTGCAGTCCCGATTGGATCCATTGGTTGGCCGCCACATTTTTGCATCCAACGGCCTGTGTTGCCCGTGAGCGCTTGTCACCAAGTGGGAAAAGTTTGGCCGCCCTTTACGAAAAAAGGTCTCCGTGTGTGAGGGCTCTTTCCACCAATTATCCCAGACTGCATGCGCGCTCTCTTGTGGAATCCATCTCCATGCTTGACTCTTTTTGCACTGGCCGGTCGTAGTGGTAATCTCTGCTGGCAGCAGCAGATCACAGCCTGAAGGCTGACGCTGCGGGTGTAACTTGATTTCTTCATTCGACAATGGTTCGTAGAACGGCTTGCTCGGAGCCTAAGTTGCTGCCAAACGGGCCCATCTTGGAGCAGTCGGTATTGGCACCCTTGTCGACTCCCATGATGCTGCTGTGGTGGTCATAGTAACCTAGGCGGTCCTTCTCCTGGGCTGTAACAGAGCCCTGGCCACATTCAACTCCTCCGTTGATGATGAGTGTGGTCACGCCGAAACCAGGCAAACGGCCTCCAGCCACGTCAGCTGCTGTTGGGGTCCATTTCCCGGCCATAACATCGTGGCAAGATGGCTGCGAATCCGAGAGCAAATCGACAGCCACAAGCAAAAAAATAAGAATAGGCTCATACACCGTCACAAACGATGATGACGACGACGACGACGACGACGACGACGACGAAGAAGAAGAAGAAGAAGAAGAAGAAGAAGAAGAAGAAGAAGAAGAAGCATAGCGCCCTGACAGTGCTGCCAGTATGAAGACTCTGACGTTCTGAATTGAACTGCAAAGTTCTAACTTTTAGGTTATATATGAAGTTGTGAACTTAAATTACTAATTTAAATCCAAAGTTCAAAGTTCAAAGTTAATCATACTTTTTTTTTTTTTTTTTAAATTCTCTGTTTCTTTAGTCTTGTGCCTGCTTTGCACTGTTTGCAACTGTGCATGTCTGCTAGTTAAATGTGCTGGTTGATTAAACTTGATTTGCTGCAAGACACGTGCTCTGCTGCCTGAACTACAGAGTGCAAAGCAGGTAAGTGCCTGCCAACACCCCCGCCCAACC